TGTGTGTGTGTGTGTGTGTGTGTGTGTGTGTGTGTCTGTCTCAAGGGACAGCCAATTTGTGTGTGTCACCATTATGGCTGAGTGGGAAAAGTGACACCTCTCTTTCTCTCTCACCCAGAGGAGATCGAGAAGAAGCTGACTGCCTACAGGAAAGGCTGTAAAATCTGGAACATGCTCATTTTCTGCCAGGTGAGCGAAAACGAAGACAGAGTATGAAAATATTTTGACATCATTGTGTCACATGTCCCTTTAAAATAGCATTCTATTAAGTCACAATAGTCCTCTAACCACTAATTACAAACTGACTGATAAGTGATATCCCTGAATGAAATTATTAGTGTGTGTATTCTCTTCATCACATCAATTAATAGTGGCTATATAGTACTGTGCCAAAGTCTTGAGCCATCCCTCATTTATATATATTTTGCATGAAGCATGAGAAGTAGGTGAAGTGATTTATTGAAACATGTACAAACATACATGAAAATACAGGCAACAACAGTTTATACAACTCTAATGAAAGTCAGTACTTGGTATGAGTGCCTTTTCTTCTTCTGTCCAGACAGGATTTTACTGCACATAATTAAGCCTTTTCAGATTTTTTTTTGGTATCAGAATTCCAACAAGATAACACTAGGTAATACTAGGAAGCTGAGGGATAGCACCACAGTCTGCCACTTGTCCATTTTTTTTCTTTGTTTTTTTTTAAGGACATTGAACACTATGGTGAGATATTCAATATTTTTATGTCTTTGTATTGTTGTTGCAACAGTACTATTTTATGTCAGTTGACCTGTGGTATCTTTGACATTTTTCAAAGATTTATCTAAAAAAAAACAAATGATTTGTTTTTGCAAAAAGGCTGCTAACTTTGAATAATCTTCAGAAAACCTGGAGAGCCTGTCTTCTAGAAATATTTTAAAAAGCCTGTTTGCTTTGAAGCTAAGTATGAAGAAATGAGGAGCTGCTCAAGACATTTTCACAGTTTTGTGTATGCAATGGAATAACCCCATCAGTTTTCAAGTCTACAGCGTACGGTACAAAGTTGTCTATCATAACACAGACACCTTTCTGCAGGGAGGTCCGGGACATTTATACCTGCTGAAGAATAAAGTGGCAACCTTTGCCAAGGTGGAGAAAGAAGAAGATATGATCCAGTAAGTCTCGCCTGAGGGAAGGATATATGTTTTTTTGTAAAGTACGGGTGAAGAAACAAACAGCGAGTTTATGAAAAGAAATGGAAAAAAGAGACAGAATTCACTCCAGTGCATTAATATTAATTTTACATTCGTAGCAAAAGAGTAAATTTATAGGTTATAACTTAAAGGTCATAAGTCAAGCGTTTATTGTTCATCTTACACATAACATAACATAAAGATTAATTTTTTTTACATTTTGTACATGGTTTAATCTAAATGGGTTCTGCTCCTCTCATTGTGAATATAATTAATACAGCTGTGGAAATGTCCACAGCAAAACCAAGAGGAAAATTCTTCAAAGGATAATGTGGTTAAAGTCACAACTGCCAAATTCAAATGAACACAAAAACAACAGAAGATTTGTGTCAGCTTAGATCAGTACAGTCTGATTCGCTAAGAGGGATGCTCACAGTCAAGACTGCAGTCCTTGCTGTGGTTTGAAAATATTCATTTCAAATGGCATTTGAAATTTGAACTTGAAAGAAAATAGTCTGATTTGCATCTGCTGTTACAAACTTAATCATTGCTTGGAGTATTGAACCATCAAGAGGCCTGGGACCAGAAAATATTGGAACAGACATCAATAAAAATAAAATATATAAAGTGCATTAGAGTTATTCCAGGCCACATGCAGTTTGCATTAATAGTGGTTTAATGAAACAAATTAACTTTTCATTCTCACTTTTCTTTTTAATTTGCCCACACACCCACCAGTATGTTTTCATGTGTGAGCTGAGATTCTGCATGTAGTCCTGATCTCTGTTAGGCTTTGAAGGGGTTTTTTTGTTTTTGTTTTGTTTTTTTTTGCTGTTACAAGATAACAAGGCAGGCAAATACGACTGAAACAGGAACAGGTTTTATCCTTAGATTGAGTATTTTAGCTATCTGTTATCTAACTTTTAAATATTTAAGACTATTATTTAAATATATGATGACTGTATTTCATGTAAACCCACTTTGAAAACCTTAACCTTAGGCAGACACCTCAACTTCTTGCTTCTTCGCTTTAGCAGGGTCCTTCAGCTTTGCAGTAATCTGTTTTAGATAGTATTATGCAAAAGCAAGTTTGAGTAGTCTTAATGTGCACCACGGTTGACTACTGTGGAGGTGACTGTCTTTAAAGGTATGGGGTCTGATAGGGTGCAATACATGCATTCTTGAGTGCACTTGTAGTTTTAAGCTTTTAGCTTAACCTTAAAACCACCCAAGTGGGTGGAATCCCAATTTGGTGACATTGTCATTAACATTGTACTACCAAAATACGGTACCTAAAGCACCATAATATTTGGTCTTTATAAGGGAAGTCTAGTTTGAGTCTGTGTTATGCTGAGAGCTGGTCAGCTTACTGATTACAGGTTTTTATTTCTAACACAGGTCTAGTCAGTGTTGCTCACTGTTGACAGACCATAACCATCAAATCTGCATTATAATAGAAAAAATCACACAGGCTATTGAAAGCAAAAAAAAAAGAGTTACTTCTTAATCTGCAAGCTAATCTGTTTAAACACTGGCAATAAATAGTATTTTATTGTAACCTTAACCCTCACCTATGCTGATTGTCGTCACCTCTCACCTCTCCTGTGTGACCAGGTTCTGGCGGCGACTCAGCAGGCTGATGAGCAAGCTGAACCCAGAGCCCAACCTCATCCACATTATGGGCTGCTATGTGCTGGGAAGCGCTAATGGAGAAAAGGTAGCTGTCTTTGCTTGTATCCTCGAGAACAAGTAAGAACCCCATAGTCCGCTACTCAGTGCAAAAGTAGACCAAAACTGTCTGCATGCATATGCAGCATGCTTAGTTGATATCACAGATATGCACGCACACCCACTCCCAGCCAGATACTGTCTATAGGCACATGCAGAGAAATTTTTAAATTTCTCTGCATGTGGTAAAGAAAGCATACACAGCACTTTGGAATGACAGGAAAATAAAATCTTTTGACACCTACTTAATTACAGTGCACACACTACACTGATACACTTTTTTCACATCAGTACCTAAACATTGACCTGCCCAACCCTCCTATCCCCCACAGAGACAGGCAGGCATTTACCATATGTAGATACAATCGCATGGAGCTTATGCACATGAAACGTGCTCACACACTAAAATATTCAGCAAGCCCATCTCCACATGCCGATTACTGATTCCTGCATTTGCTTACTGCAGTATTCTTTTGCCCCATGGTAGTAAAAACTCATAAAGGCAATTGTTTCCTCACTTCACAAATATGAGCTGAAATGAACACTTTTGTTACCTTAAATGATCTTAAATGTAGTGTTCAAAAACTGTGTGAAACTGTGAAGGGAGTGGAACCAAGTAACTGCAGAAATTATAAAACTTATTATTGTGGCATATTATGGTGAAATTTATAAATAATTTCAAGTGCAAGTTTTGTACATATTGCAAAAACAACATGGACCTTTTTACTTAAGCTTCATCATAACTTAATTAAAAACTAAATGACAGCTTTATAACAATGACTCTGATGTTATTGCATATGACATTTGAAGGAGGTTACAGCTTCTCTATCTCTCCCCTGAGATATTTTGTATAGCATGCAGCTATTTTTCAACTCTTCAGTAAAATCATGAGTGACAAATAAGCCACTTGATTATGGTACTTCAACATTTCTTTTGTAAATCTGTTTCCAATTCACTGTGTCACACAGCCAAGAATTTGAAAACCATACAGCTTTTTAAAATTTAAATTCCTACTTGTATTATTCTTGTATTATTCTCTAACAACGAGAAACAACACTGAGAAGTATCTACTCCTTTGTGCAAGGAGGATAATGATGAGCACTGCAAGAGCTACAAAGTGACCTCCAGCATGCCACTGGTGTGAATGCCTCTGACCAAACAGTCAGAAACAGACTTTATGAGGGTGGTCTAAGGATCCAACATCCTTTAGTGAGTCCTGTGCTCACTGCCTGGCACCATGGAGCCCGTATGAAAGTGAGGAGGAGCCGGGAGAACGTTATGCCAGTAATGACATCATTCAGCATGACCAATATGGTAGTGGGTCAGTGACAGCCTGTAGAGGCATATCCACAGAGGGATGCACAGATCTCTGCAGGCAACAGCACCAACTGCTATTAGGTATCGGATCATACCTAATGGCAGGTAGGACCCATTGTCAGACCCTGCTGTAGTACAGTGGGTCCTGGGTTCCTCCTGGTACGTGACTGCCCGGCCTCATGTGGCAATAGTATGCAAGCAATTTCTGGAGGATGAAGGAATTAATTCCACTGACTGACCCCCATAGTCACCTGATATAAATCCAACAGAACACCTATGGAACATTTTGTTTCTGTCCATCCGATGCTGCCAGGTTGCACTTTAGATTGTCCATGAGCTCAATGATGCTCTTGTCTACATCTGGATGGAGATCCCTCAGGACACAAAACGGGGGTCCTACAAACTACCATTTTGAGTTGCTGCAGTGAAATGTAAGCAATTTTTCACTTTGATTTTTGGGGCGTCTTTGACTTCAGCACTATGTAGGTTGACCATTTTATTTTCTATCGAGCAATGTGGCATCCTTTCAACCCATTTAACACATTTCCCAGTCCATATCGGTGTTTCTATCCAGCATGATGTTTTCCCCTTTGAGATCTGATGTGTTTTCTAAGTTCCAACAGTGTCAACATTTTGAGCCTCAGAGTCTTGAATCATAAAGTGAAACCATCGTGAGTGGAGTTCTGTGAGCCTGCGAGCCATTAATCTCCATCCACTCTTGATTTATTTTATGGAAATCACAACAACATGTTAGCGCTAATTGGAAAGTAATGCATAATGCTTCAAAATGCAGCTTCTGGCATATTTATTGGAATCATTGTTTAATTGTGTGTTGGATGTGTACCTTCTAGAACACCCAGCAGCATACTATAACACTCCCTCTGACATTTGGCTTCTCATTCACGGTGATTCAGTTCAAAGACAAAGAGGGTGGACTTGGCGTGCGGTGGCAAGGAAGGGCTTATTCGCTGCATTTAACAATTTTCCCCCTGCTGCTGCCTGTGTGTGCTCCTACAGGCTCAGCTGGAGAGCCACTATTAATAGACTGACTGACGGAGCTGAGCTGAGAAGATGCTCCACCCCACTCATCAGTCCTTATAGCTCTACTATTCTGTTATCAGCCATCCTATTTAAGGGTTTCCAAAGCCAATCCGTAGAGATCGTATTAATTCTCCTCCTTCAGGAAGATTTTAAAGAGTTAGATTTTACCGGAAATTCTGTTTTCATGTTACTTAACAGCTTACAAACCATACACAATGTCAGACAAATTATGTCATCACTTTACAACAGCATACTTTAACTTAGAATTATAGAAAGAAAGCCAATCAGCTATGGCGAGTACATACATTGCAAGTGATAGGACAGCAAACAATAGTGTGCTAAAGAAGACATTATTTTTACTAATGGACGATCACAGTATGGATCGATCTGCATGTTTGACAGAGTTTGGCCTCCATGACACAATTATCCCATTAATCCAGGCCTGGGAGTAGTACTAAGAATATACTAGGATAGGTTTGTGTCTCCTCCCAGTCTCAAATTGGGGGGATCCTTCATGTGTAAAGCAAATGAGTTAACCACTAAACCAGGGTGCCACTACATAAGCAATAGTACATTAAATTGCTTTTTTTTTCACAACATAAGCCTGACCCACATAGTATTAAAGGGATCTTTTGATTTTATTTTATTTTTTTGGCTTATCAGTTCAAACTGACCTTACCAAGCATCAATATGAAATGGGTTTATGGTGATGACTGGTTGCCAAAACAGGCCTGACCCAGTGAGGTATAGACTCAACTGAAACACAACAAAAATTAGCTACATAAAAAAAAAAAAAAGCCTGTTTTATATGTCTTCCAAAATAGGGTTAGAGTTAGGATTAATCCAACTCAATAAAAACAGGAGTTTTAGAATCATGAAATACTACGTAACTGCTGTTTTGTCACAAAACGTATGTTTTTAAAAATTTTAATTTTAAACAAACAAAAAAACACATATTTACATGTGGTAGACTGGTTCTTACATAACAAATTTCTTCAACATTCAACATACAGACTGAAGTAGCCAGGGCTTGACCCACCAGCCTTCCCATTAGTAGATGACCTGCTCTTTCTCCTGATCTACAGCTCCACCAATGAGAAAATGTCAAGCTCTGGATTTTGAAGATTGCCAAGTGTCAGATTTTGCTAAAATTTATTTTTATAACGAAACATTCTTTTGTAGAAGCATGCTAGGTTGACATATTAAGATATAATTTAGTGTTAAGTCCTACCTTGATTGTGTTTTTATTACCATCTGATGTTCTGAAACCATATGGTGTTTCTACATTTAAAATTTAGCTCTGGAGCTGATTTGCTCCATATAACTCATGGGCTCACTAAGATCACATCTATATATATTTTACAATTTCGATTTCCCTTCATGTCAACTAATTTATACATGATATTCATACAGTTTTTGTTTTGCGTGATCAGTATCTAATTTTCATTATGTTCATTAAAGATATCTTGTGTCACTGTCTTTTGTAGCAAATGGAACAATAATCCTGGCATGACTTAATATGGACAATCTTTCAGCTACACCCATTTTAATTTGGTTATCCACTCTTTACGTGTGGAGTAAGGTATGGAAGAGAAGAGGGGGTCTGGCTGTGTTTTAATTGATCGATGGTGTAATTCTGGGTGCTTAACTGTAAAAGGGAAGCAGGTAGGAAGTAAGCCCTCTGAAGTAAGGACAATGAGCTTCTAGCTGTTAGCATGAGGGCATATTATCTTATGGGAGTTTATACATGTTACCGTTATAACGGTGTATGTCCTCTCCTGTTATCCAAACTGTTACCAGCGGATTTCAAACACAGTATCCTCAGGCCCTTTTTCTGATCTCTGGGGATTTTAATTATCTCTCCCTGTCCTCCACTCTGCCCACCTTCACCCAATATGTAACCTGCCAAACCAGAGATAATAAAACACTAGACTTATTGTATGCCAACATCAGCTCATCACCTCTCCCTCCTCTGGGGCAATCACAACCTGATTCATCTCCAACCTGTGTATAAACGCCTTGTACACAGAGAATCAGCTGTGTTGCGCACAGTGAAGAGTCTGAGGAGACTGAAGCTCTGAGGTACTGCTTCAGTTCTACTGTGTGGGAAGAGCTCTGTGCTCATCACAGAGAGGATATTAACAGCATAACAAACTAAATCACACAGGGGCATAACACTGTGCCCCTCTTGAAGTTACAGTGTTTTTCCGATAACAAGCCCTGAATTAACCCTGAAATCAACGCTTTCCTTAAGCAGAAGAAGAGAGACTTTAGGTCAGGAAATAAGGAAGAGCTGGGACCTGTGCTGAAGGAGCTGAGAAGGTGGACGACCAACTGCAGTAGAGCAACATCAGTGTAGTTTGGAAGAGGCTGAAAACAATTTCAAATCACAAACCAAACTCCCAGGCTCTAGGAGATTTAGGGTGGGTGAATGATCTGAAGAACTGGTTCAGCTCATTCAACCACCCACAGACACTTACCCCTCAGACCCAATTATCTCTGCTGCAAACCTCTCGTCTTCAACGAGTGCCTGCTTTTCTTCCCATGACTATACACCTCTCAGCCATCACCCAGCCCCTCTGCTTCAGAATACTCCATCCCATAGCCCACCTCTCCCACCACCAACCCATC